AATTTTATTTTGTGGTGAACCTAGAAGGTTGGGTAAAAAAGAAACACGATTTTTATTTAAAACCCGTTTAACATTTTTTCAGAAGCCCCAAATTCCAAAGCCCAAAATTAAAAATTGAGAAACAAAAAATGGCAAGGCTAGTTGGATGCTTTACCGGGGGGGGGGGGGGGTTGGTCCTAAATAGAGCCGATTGCTCACGAGAGTGATCCTAAGATCGATAAATATACCTGCCAAAAACAGGTGAGAAAGCTTGTTTTATGAGTCAATGAGTAACAAGTCACGTTATGAGTCAGGCTAGGGTTAGATTTAGGGTGAAAGTTAGAGTTTGGAAATTCCCCCTTTCCCTTCCCCTTTTAATGCCTGCCATGCAGGTTTGTTAGAGTGAGGTTTCAAGGATTACGTTAAGAATAGTGTTGACTCATGACTTATGACTCATTGACTCACTCTTAATTCTCGATGTGGAAAAAGTGCAGTTGAAACTTGAGCTGTTTTATCACAATAACAAAAATAAGCAATGATAATAAGGTGACAGGCTTGTATGACTTCCAACACGAGTTTTTATACACCATTTGTGGCCCAAGAACAGCAGACCAATAAACACTTAATGAGTAGTCCCTCGGGAAACAGTTAATTTTGTTTCCCTCGAATCTCAATGTTTCCCGAGGGACCAGTCATTAAGTGATTTGTTAATATATAGCAAAATGAAGACATTAGGAGACGCAATGTGAAAACAAATCGAAACAGCGGTCGTTGGTCAACATTTGCGGGTAACAGTGCACTCTTACTCACTGACGTGATAGATTTTGCAATGTTGCCCGCTCAGAAACTTTTGGCGGGAAACAATTTTATTGTTAGATATCATCACGTGACCTTGAAGTAACCAATGAGACCGCATGCAGTTGGGGAAGAAATCCCAGCTATATAACAACACTTGATATTCACTGGCGGATCCAGACCTTGAGAAAAGGAGGTGGCCTGGTCATCCAGACCCTGAGGTAAGGGGGAGGTCTAAAAAAAAAAAAATTTTTCGGCCCTTCCGGCCGTAGTTTTGTCTAAAAATAGGGGGGGCCTCCACTTGCATCCACCACTGATCTTATTATAATTTCCAGTTTGAATTTTAGTACAGTCAAATCCACCATGCACAGGTTGTACAAACTTGGATGAGTAAAATGATCTTTATGGGATTATACTGAATTAGGTTAATATTAATTTTATATGACATACCTGTAAAACTGGCTGTACAGTTGGATAGGGTTTTTTGATGGTAGGGTGATCCAGTTTTCGATAGAACCACTAAATCCATCCCTGAAAACAGCATGCACCACACCATAACGAGTTTCTCATTTTGATCGATGTGCCCTTTATAACCAAAACTTGGCGAAAGGTATGGGGTGGGATTTGTTTTATTAAGGGTGTCACTCTTTCTGGCTGTGAAAGCAGTTGGATTGCTTTCTTTCAATATCTTGTTGATGTTCTTCACAGAAATATTTACACTCTTTGTTCTAAGATAGCCTTGAAGTGTTCCTGCACCATATGCATCCCCAACCTGATAAGGAACAATAACACTGTACGTGGAAGAAAGAGCACCCTACCCATGCGTCCTCCCCCCTTCCTCCTGCCTCGCCCCGACAGAAAAGGAGGGATAGCCAAAATGAAAGTTTGAGCTTAACTTAACCTACCATATTTACTGGAATAAGCACCCTAAGCGTTAATGAACTTTTTGGACCTTGAGAGTGGGCGCTTATTCAAGGCTGGGTGCTAATTCGAATACATACGGTAACTAACAAATATGGGGATAAAAAAAGTGAGGAGAAATGTACCTCTTTGCTTGCTCTCTTTACTGCATTTTCCTGTTCCGTTTTGGTCAACTTCTTGGCCGAAAACCGTCGCAGGCCGTTGGTTTGGCAACATCGACGAACGCTTCGCCTCGAAATCCCGCGTATTTGCCGAAATTTTGCCTGCAAGTACTGTTGAACGTCTCTCAAGAAGCCACCAGAGTCAAGAATATTTTTAATTTCCTCCTTCCCCCCAAATAAAGCAATACCGCTCATGGTTTTACTTGTAACCCCCCCGAATAATAAACCCGCCACAATACACTGGGAACAAACTCCTTGTGACGTGTGTGCAACGAAGAATTCTGGGGACAAGTAAGCCTCAAAATGGGTTTTTTTATCATGGGCCTGGGAACTAGGTTGCAAGGTTATGACGTCACGTCACGTGCCTTTGGACAGACGGATTTTTGATTTCCGATTTGTGATTTCCGATTTCTGATTTCCCAAGTCCCGATTTCTGATTTCTGTTTTCGGTAATCAGAAAATACCTGCCATCAATTTCTGGGTTCTGATTCATGAAATTCAGAAAACGAATTGGCCTCAAAGCTTCCTGATTCAGTATATATATAACTGAAGATGCACGAAAAAAAAGCCCTTGTTTACAGGCTTTCTTGGCAAGACTAAATAACCTTTATCAATTAAAAACCATCATTACCAAATCGAAGAATAAAATGTCCTTTCACTTATGGTGTAAGCGCCAGGAATGTTTTCCGTTACCTTTATAGTATTTTTATGTTCGCCGCGTTCTTAGTTATTTTCGTGTTCGCGCCTTTAGTGCTGTTGTTTGGTTAATTAGTTTTTCATTGTTCGCGTAGCTTTGTCCTTCGTGTTAGGATTTTTCTGCATATCGTATATTTAGCTTTTATTGTAATTTTTCGCGTCAGTTCTTCGTTTAGCTGCGCTTGGTCCGGTTTACAGTTAAATGTTTGGGTTTTGCTCGTCCTAGTTTTTCGTCCTTATCTCGCTATCGTCTTGTAAGTATCTCGTTTGTTTCATTCGCATTTCTAGATTGCCTTATTGCTTTCGTTCAGTTTGTAGGTTGTTTTATCTTGACTTTGTATTTGTTTAATTGTTATTTTTCAGTACCGCTATACTTCGCTGTATTCGTTATACTTCACATCGGTTCACTTGTTTCCCTGCACCAGTTGTAGAAGTTCTAGAATAAAGTTTGTGTGTTAAAAACTTTAGCGCGTAAAGGCTGCGACTATATATGGAAATGGCAAGCACTCTTGACAGGTGTTACACAATTGCGGATAAATACTTGTTAGGGTTTAGTAGTATTGATACTGTCGTTGTGTGTCGTGTGTGCTGTGCATGCATGTATGAGTTATTTGTGTATTATCTTTAAAAATTGTAATGTCGGTAATGTAAGTAAAAATTAATGTTATTATGTTATTATTACGATTAAATTACAAAAAAAACTAATGAATACCATATTGTTTGCACAGTTTTTTTTTGACCGAAACACGTGCTGTCGTAGTTTTGGTAGAATTTTTGATGAGA